ACATTTTAACAGCACATAATCACTGGACATACTACACATTTTAACAGCACATAATCACTGGACATACTACACATTTTAACAGCACATAATCACTGGACATGTTGTAGATTTCACTGTTATCTATACTACTTTGTCTTATTTGTAGTTTTACCTTTTTGCATTATTTAGTCTTTTCACTCACTCATGGGGTGCATGTTGTATGTTCATTGCGGTCACCTGCAAAATGACCCCAGGTCCCTGTGACCCTGCACCGAATAAGCAGCCGCAGTCTCATGCATTGACCGTGAGACACACGCATTTCCACCAATTCACACGCTCACATGCCACACCTTGTGTTCCTCACACTGAGACGTAAGGTATAACGCTCACCAAGGTGCCCTGTTATATAGAATTATTTTATAAGGTACAGGCATATGGGGTGGAGTTTTCCACCGAGTTCATAACTGTCCCGAGTCACACAGAGCGAATAGCTACCAGCCAATCAGAAAATATCAGTTGTTGTTTCTGGGTAAATTCCAAAATAAGTTCATAGGCACCACCATCCCGCTGCAAGGGATGCGCACACAGATGGAGTACAGAAGCGCAAGATCCAATGAATGCGATAGGCAGGGCTCTCAAGTCTCATGCATTGACTGTGAGACGCATGTTTCACTCCTAATGTAATTTCACTCCAAACTTTTGATGAAACTTGAGAGCCTTGGTATTAGAGGAGGCTAGAAAATGTTTGCAAATCTAGATTTACTAGTGTGTTTTTCAAAGAATTACTTTCCACAATTCTGGTTCATTTTCAATGATTTCTCCAAATAGCAGTGACCGCTAGACGGTGTTGTTAGGTTGAGTTGTCTTAATTTTGGACTGTAAGACTGTAAGTTCAAAACTCATTGGTCACATTGACTAATTCACAAAAAATATAATAACGTAGATAAAAAAAAAATGTTTTGCATCTGATTAGGTCAGTACGGAAGAGGATTAGGGCCACCATGAAAATATTATTTGAATTCTGACTTTAATGTCAGAATTCAAATAATATTTTCATGGTGGCCCTAATCCTCTTCCGTAGTCTGCACTATTTTTCTCGGGTGCACCTGCCTTCCGTGGACCCGAAACCTCATTTTTGCGACAAACTGTCATTTCTCAATGAATGCATTAACACGCTGATGAACGTGCATGCCACAGCGACTCGGCGTCACACTCCAGCATTTCGCAACTCGTGCGAACAGGTGCGCCCCCATGGAGACGGCAAGCAGCGGCGCGTAATTCGCCGCGAGCGGTCCCGCGCGCTCACCCATGACGCGCGTAACCCTCTCAACTTGGTCCGGGTTCTGCGAGACTGAAACACTGTTAATGCCCGTATGCAGGAGAGCTACAAAAACCTGTATAAACCTCCGGAATAATAAGCTCCTTAGTGAGGGGGAAAGACTACAGTACACTAAAGAAGCTGTAGAAATACGGTCACGCCGATTTAAAACTTCGCTTCAACGTGGGGCGATATATCAAGCTTAGAAATTAAGAGTGTGTCGGAAAAGCAGCACTTCATAAAATAAGCTGCATGTTTAAAACAGACCTTTGGCTTTTCTTTTCCCGCTGCTTATCTTACAATTTGCTACAAGCCCCGCAAATTTCTCAGAAATAGCACTTTCAGCAGAGGAAACAAATGACCGTCAAAGGTAGGTTTTCAAATCAGTATGCCGAGTTGAGAGGGCAAAGGGAAACTGCGATTTTAAATATTAAAGCATCAGCATCCTGCAGCCAAATTTATGGAGTTAGAATCATTAAGCATGTATTCGAGAAGGATGAGAAGGATCCTTAACATACACAGGAGTCTCTGCAAATCGATTTAACTTAAAGTTTTTTAAGCATATTAAACTGCATGCTTGTGTTTCATTTCCTCTGTAACATTAGTGTTTTATAGATTATTTTCCCCATTTTAGTACACAGTACAAATGGAGTGCATAGTGCTTGATATATTTTATGGAACATGAGGCCTAATTAGCATATCTTTAATAGTGGACGATTAATGTCTGTAGCAAAACACAAAAAATAAAAACCCACACACATCTATTTAATTCATAGTGCTCATGGTGCAATTGAGATGAGTATGTCAGTTTTCAGCCACGGACCACAGCAAACCAACAAAATCCTTGTTAAGTCAACTTTGCAAAGTCTACAAATCAGCACTGAGCAGGTTTACAAGCAGACAAGCTCTCCCCATAAATAAGCATAAAGCTTAACACAGGAAGATGGATATTGACATACCATCAACATAAGTCAACAAATTGATAGAAAGAAAAACAACCAATGAGCAAACTATTTGATCACAAACAAATTGAGTAGAATTAGCAAGTCCCAAGTAGAGTGACTGGACTAAGCAACACTGGAAGCTCCTCGGAGACCAGTGACGGTTATGAAGTAGGATCAAGTGAAGCAAGAGAGAGGTCACCACTATGCTGGTCAGATTGGTAGATGTGAGCAGCTATGAACATCACTGTTAGGTCACCCCAAAACAAGGCACTAAAGTGAACTCCATTGGGCCCTGTTATATGACACCTGGGTATTCAACAGGGCTGTAAGCAAAAAAAATTGAAGAAACGGGATTGCAATCAAAGTGTGGACCTGCAGTGCCAACATGGTTGTGTTCCCATATGATTTAATTATATCTATCATGAGCATTACATTATTGTTTAGGAAAGATGACCAGCATGAACATGAATGAACAGCAGCTCCCCCACTGGTGACGACAGGGGATTTACCCTTACTACATGCCTCCAGAGACCACAGGTGAGACTGTCACTTGTGATCATGACCTCTGTGCCCACACAGCGACCTGTGTAGAATGTGCCTCATTCCCTGTCAGCACATGGCATCCTATTAAATATTCATGGTTGCTCTGCTGACTCCTAGCAGGGCCACTGCAGACATTCGTGTCTCTCTGCAGCCATTAGCATGCACACGATACCATTTCAACTTGCCCTATATTTTCTCTGTCATTACAATAGCAATAAATGTCATTCACGTTTAGCAAATCATTCCTCCTATTCAAAAGACTTGTTAAAAAGCACTTGGAGCAGAGATTCAGGATTCAGCAATATGCAATATGAATGCTAATATCAGACATGCATTTCAACTAATATATTATTAAAAAAATCCTATTTCAGAAAGACACTAAAAAAAATTTAAAACATAGTCCATGTTTAAATAACTAAACTGACCAAGAGAATTTTATAGCCATGCTTCTCTCTCTGGAACCACCAACAGTGCACATTTTTACTTCCTCCCAGCTCCCAACACACCCGTACCAGGTATTCGGTGTTCTTGATTGTTTGGTTCAAGTGTACTGGAAGCTAGTAAATGTGGAGGACAGGGTTGAGAAACAATGGGTGTGTCCGAAATCGCGCACTTGCGCACTTTTAGTGCGCGATTTTAGGGCGTAGGGCGTTCACACTGACAACTAAGCCAAAATTCAGTGCACTGAAAGTACCCGGATGGTGCACTGAAAACGGCCAGAAAACGCAGTGCAGAATTATGGACACTACTCGCACTAAACGGACGCCATTTTGACTACGTAGCGGAAGGGACTTTCAGCAAATTTTCATTGTTAAATTAAGGCGGACAATAACACAGACACGTAAGCCCAAGCGGAGGCAACTGCTTCATATAAATCTAAGTAACGCTAATAAAATTATTTTACTGATGTATACTGCGGTGTGTAGCCTGTCACTCTCTGATGACAGTTATAGATAATTTGAGTTTGCGATTATATCAACTTAGAAGAGTTTGCACACGTAAATGTTAGAAGTTTTTTAGCCGGTTAGACGGAAGTAGATAGGTTATATACACGCAAATAAAACCACAAGGAAATTCATTGTAAACAAAACACGGCAGATATTTTGGCGCGCTAGAGAATCGCGATCAAATGCTAGTCCGTCACTTCCGGTAAGTGCAAAACGTTAGTGTTCCATTTAGGGCAGCACTTACCCATGGTAGTGTGCACTACAGAAGGAAGTGCGCAGTGCGCACTACGCACTACATCTCAGTGCACTGAGGCAAGTGCGCGATTTCGGACACACCCAATGTCTCATAGCAAAGTGTGATGTTGGAATGTAAGCTTGCAAACTCATTTAAAGGGCAGATCTTTTCCCACCAGCAGGCAAAGTCTTTTGTCTTACCAATATTACAGTTTTCTTCCCTGTTACCTTCACTTATAATGTTGGTTCCGAAGAAAGTCATGCTGGCTAGTAATTTCTCCTTGATGTTTCCACAACAAATATAATGAAACATCAGAAAATAGAGGCCCAATTAATACATACCTTGTTTAATTTAGGCTGCTTCCATGTGCCGTGTTTAGTTTGTTCTTTTGCCCCTTGCCCGTTACCTTGAAGTTGACATTTGAATAGCACATGGTGTGCAGTGAGCTTAAAGCTTCACAGATACACAATCAAATCTTCCCTTTGGCACAGAAGGGCTCAATTTGGGTTTTCAGCAGATTGATAAACCTCATTGCAGAGTCGAAGTTAAGATGCCTCGCCTTCCCTCTGGCATGCCCAAAATGGCTCCTGCAGCAGCCCCAACCCTTAAGCACAGCTGTCAGGCTAATTTAATTCTCAAGCAATTTCCAAACTGCACTCTTTTCATATTTGGAATAAAAATATGAATCCTTCCGTAGCCACTAGCATCCTACTGTAGTTTGCTAGTTCAACAAGGTTGTGGGATGCTGGAAAAAGAATGAAGAGACTTCCTTGTCACTCATGGCAATCACCACTGGGTGGAATGGGGGTACAAGTCATTAAACCACGTGCAACCCAAGTTTATTATTCATCTATTAACATCCCTGTATTGCAAGAAGTTTTTAATGAATTAAATGAATCAGCAAAAGTTTTATTAAATCATAATTGATCCCTGTTGAATGGCCTGTCTGTCAGTCACAGAGTCATTTTCAGAAATTACAAGAATCCTCCTTTCGGCTGTAATCACACCACATTACCTCAGGGTAGTAGTTGCAAAGTTATCCTCTCTAACACACAGACACCCCCCCCCCCTATTTTCTGCCATTATTCCACATGTTCCACAAAGTGAGGTGCAAAGCACCTTCATGGCCAAAAAGAATGAAAAAAAGGCAGTGGGATCTTATGGGATTGCAAGTTTTGAATCTGCTGTGCACAAAATTACCAGACCTTCTTTGCAGTCAGATGCTTGGGGGTCGGCAGATCGTGTTTACAATCAGCGCTCCCTGAACATCATTCAAGCGTAGCCGGATCCTTGCCCATATTTGGGCAGCCAGTGCCCTTTCAGTTCACACAGATGCTGACAACAATAGAACATGGTAACAGCCACTAATTAAAACCTTTTTGTGCAGCTTGGAGCCAGTAAGGTCCAGCGTTTCTCCAACTGTGGCCTGCCTCTCAGAACGGTTGTTTTTCTCATCCTCCCCAAAGGTAATGGTTGACTACAAACAGCTTGGTGGAACTTGACACAAATCAGGGTGATGGTGGTTCCCACAACCCACTGCTGCCTTAGACTTATTTTGAATCTTCAGAATGCATTTGCATGTACAATATTTCTCAGATAAAGTACAACTGAAGAAATATATGTCTTCTTCATTCCTTGCATCCTGGACAGATAAGGAGATAAGGCAGCTAAGTAAACCACCACTTATGCCTCTGGGGATACAGATAATGCTGTGAAGATATTTTAATATATATTAAAAACAGCAGGGAGCTAAGAGCTACAGTATACAATAATGCCATCCGTATCCAATAAAAACCACCTTGACACACGGGCAACCAAACCATATTGCAGGTTATTCTTAAATGGATAAGCCATAAATTCTTAACCATCCATTCAAAAGGGAGAGAACAGAAAGAGGTCAGGTGATCCTACCTTCTTCTGGTCCTCCAGCTTGTGACTTGTTGGCTTCTTCCCATGCTTGCTTGGGTCCGATGGTAAATCCATTCCTTGGGTAAATGCAAAAGCTCTCCAGAAAAACAAGATAGGAAAGGTAATGGGTTGGGAGGGGTGCAGAATAGTGGGGGCTACAAGGAGTTGACCAAGCCTTGTCCCCGGAACACACCTTTGCTGAACTGTGTGGACTCCATGCATGGAATTGCTGGGTGGCTTATTGGGTCAAATGGGGGGCGAGAGGAGTCGGGGAGAGTCCAGGGTTACCCAAGTGAGCACATTATCAGCTGGTCAGTAAGGCCACCACCCCCATTCCAGAATCTTCCAACCAGAAACTCCTCTTCACTACTTTTTACTCAGCGGCCAAGTTTGTATCCGATCCAGTGGCGTAAGATATCCTAGAAACACAGAAAAACGCATAGATACACATGAGCAGGAAGCAAGGAGATTAAAATGAACTCTCAAGAATAGCAGAATTTCGAAACATCATATGCGCAGATGCATGCACAAGAAATGTAAATGAATATACATTCTATCGTAAGTTAAGTTGCCGAATGAATTATGGCAGCATTCCTGGTGTTTCTGCATGCTGACTAGAGAGGACTGAGGTCAACCAAGGTCAACAGCTTAGGAAAAGGCCATTGTGTTTTCCAGGTTATTCATCACAGAGGTGATGGATGGCATGGGCCTCTCTATGGGTAATGGGGGAGGGGGATAAAATGATAACCTGCCAGAGTCTTGGGGTCTGCAGGTTTTTGTCACATTCTAGATAAAAAGAATGATCGCCCGTCTTCATGACCCGCCCCATCTCATAAAGTGATGGCTCAGCTTGTAGTCCTACTCGCAGATCATCCTAACCGGAAATAATTCATCATATGTGGTGATTTTTTTTAAACTGGCATTTTACGGTTTCTCAGAAATGTCTGGATGCATGAAAACATTATAGTAAGTACATATTTATTGGCCTTAAATGTGTTTAGTTCTGTTTTTTAACAAAAACTGCAAAGGAATGATTTATGTCAATGTGAAAGGACACAGAACCAACTCATTTTTCTTCTCTGTATTCAGCATATCTATTTTCATGGATTTCATTTTATTTCAAAGAAGGTCTGTCCCCCCCCTCAAGGCAATTCCTTCAAATTTGTAAAAACCCTGGAGATGACTTTAACGCGTGTGAATTGAACTCTCCCTGGAATCAATATTCACGCATCATCTCAGCAAGCCAGAGGCTGAGAGCATGCAGCTACCGGCCAAGCAAACATGGGGCTGCACCTCGTGGGCGGTTGGTGGGGAAGATTAACAAATCCTCACGAGATGTGAGGAGAATCAGCTCAACCCAACATGTACACTTCTAGAAGCCTCTTTCACAAACCTCACATTTCTCCCGTCGCACCCTCTGCTCAGCCCTGGGAAGCTTGTTGTATCTTAGTGCATGCTAGGATCATCCAATAAATTCTTATCTTAAAGAATCAGGGATATGTGACTCACAGTTGTATTATATTTTCATAGAGTGGCTTATAGATCTCACAATCAAAGTCATACATGACAAACTAAAAGAACTACTAACAGATACAGAAACTCCAGGGAATCGCAGGAAGAAACTTCACCAAAGGACCCAACGTCTGCATTTCGAGCAGTCGCAAAGCAACAAAGCACAGCCCATGCCTTTCACAAATAATGCATGAAAGCTAATTTCACCTGATCCTGTTGGATACCACCAAAAACCACTGAGCAGTGTGAGACCGACGGGCATATGAGATTGTAGGTGTGCCTGATCCCTGCTAACGAGGGAGTCACTAAGGCAAGATTTAGATCTCAGGTAAACATACTTATCCTCATGCATTCTTCATAAAGCCTGCTTTAACATCACACCTGGCTTACATTCAGACAAGTCTCTATATATCCCAAGAGCATTTGGATGGTGGAACAGCAGGCTTTGTCCCTGCAGAGGTGCTGAAACTAACCTGGTGATGCTATGCTTTGGTTATCTGCATGAGAACGGACAACAAGTGTGTCACCATTTGTCAGGGACCTTTAAGTACTATTTTTCTACAACAACATGCCCCACATTCTGTAGCTTTTAGGAAAATCATGTGAATGCCATCTGCATTGCAAAAAAGGTTTTGGGTCTGCCTCATTCAGAGTTGGTGCTATATGGAACCGGTCCAATGGGTAGTGCCTGAAATACAAGGGACTTTTCTCATCTAACAGTCATCCACCAAGTTCCAGGTCAACATCATAACATGATGCACATTACCGGGAGATAGGGATGGAGGCATCAAAAAATAAATGAGAGTTTTTTTGGGCCAAGATTGTTATAGCAGCCAGTAATGAGATAAATGGAGGGCAGCCATTAAACCACCTTTTAAAATACAGTTTCAAGGCTGAAACATCTTTCACATAAACACTATTTATGTCATGGTGATGTGAGCTATTTTGCGACTCACATTGAATGAGAATAGGTCTGTACTCTGGGGTGCGAGAACATTTTTATGCATGTTGGTGCCACACTATCACCAGAATAGAGAACACATATCACTGTCACATAGGCATTCACAGAATGTGTCCATTTGTTTCTTTTTATCACACCAAATGTATATGTTTGCAATTTTATGAAAGATGTGAATAAGAATGGCATAGAAATACATAAGGAGACATTCATTATGAATTTAAGCCATATCACAAAAAAGGAATAATTTGAACATCAAGTAGGTCCTAATCGTATAACATTTTTCACACTGTAGTGCAAAAAGTATCACTACTTATTGCAAAAAGTCCAAAACAGACTGGAGAATTTCCTGTATAAGAATAAGAGCAACTAAGAAAGCAAATTTAGAGAAGTGTAAGGTCAGTCCCCTAAAATGTCATACACAGTCATCGAGAATCCAAAATATCGTGTAAAGACAGATTCCTATTGCGGGCCGGTTTTAGACCATTTTGGCTTTTTTAAATAGTTCTGCAGAGTTTACCTTAAAAAGGCCTGCACAGACTATGGCTCTGCAGTCAAAAATGGCACCCTAACGGTGGCATTTCGCCGGATAACTGACGATGTGGAAATCGAGAACAAGACCCAATGTGAAGCAAGAAACTGGTTTACTCTGGCACTGTGAGCGGAGGCAGATGTCTGTTAGGAGCTCACTTGCATTTGCGCGAAACCAGCGCCAGTGAGTAATCAGCAATAAATCACTGGTAAGAGCTGTGGGCCCCATCTCCAGGTTCACAGTGGAAAGGAGAGAAAGAAGTTCCCATTCTGTAAATGATACATTTTTGTAAGGCAGCCGGGAAAGGCAATTCACTGGTATACTGTTTGGTGCCAAGTGAGATCGAAGACAGTGCCCACAAAAAAAGAAAACATCTCTCTGTTCCTCTGCCAGTATCCCGCATAATCTGTAGCAGGTGTGAAAACACCTGATTCATGGGCTGGGTGTGTGTATGTGTGTGTGTGGGGTAACACTGAGTTGACAAGCTAAGCTGTAATCCTCATTCGACTCAGTTCTCTACAGTCAGGAACTTTCAGATTTTTGTCCCTATAACCCAGGATTGTGGTCCTGCGCTTCTTTGATTGTGCTGTCCGCATGTATTCCAGCTCTCTATAAAAATTCTCTTTACGGCAAGAAGGCAAAATTAGCTCCAGAAAATAATTCCATTAAGCTTACTTGCATTCAATCAAATGCTTAACTGCTGCCGCCGAATTGAAACCTGTATGTACACAGGCCAAGCAAACCTCTCTGCAGATATGTCGAAAGCTTGCCGGTGCCCAAAGAGGTTGTTACCATGGCGAGGGATACTCCGTTGAATCAGAAGATGCAGGATTGTGGTTGAGAGCTAAACCAATAGGCCACCATTTGGACACACGGGTTTGGTTAACACCCACATTCACTCCTCCAAAAAGTACAATTTATCTGTTTATCTTCTAACAGCAGCATACTGTCTAGCAGCAGATGGGTAGGGTGCATGCAAGGTTTTGTTCTAATATTAACCTTATTCAATCCATTAATGCAATATCTGCCTTTTCCTATTGTTAAAATTATAATGCATCTTTATCCCAGGTCTTTGGGATACATTCCTAAAAATGTATTTTCAAAAATGGTAAAATATCATCCGTGATTAATGGCTAATTAAACCAATGTGGTCAAGGCAATGGACTGGAATTAAGAACAGCAAAAACCTCTGAAGTTTTTCGCTGAAATAAGCTGAACTCCAAACACAAGACAGGTGGTAAGGAGCAAAATAAAAAGTGGGTCTGCAGTAGTGCAGTGCAGAGACTTTCTGAGGGGCAGGTGCTCGAACGGTTGGGGGGGGGATGAGATGGGAGGATGCAGAGGAGCTACCTCAGGTCACTTCAATGGCTGCAAGGCGGAGATCTCTATCCATACATTATTCCTGATTGGTGGAAGCTGACCATTCCAGCCTTGGAAGTGCCAAGATGTCACAGTCTCAGTGGGAGCAATTTAACATGTGTGGCCTTTAGCTGTGCAACACATCTGAGACCACGGTAGATCTTTGTGCTGTGGATTATAGTCCTGTATGGGTCTGAAATTAAAGCCCGGGTCATTCCCAATACCAGACCCGGCTCAAATAGTACTAGCATACCTAAAACCCAATCCTGACCTGAACCTGAAATTGTGGAAATGTTAGTCAGTCATACTCGTATACGGAGTTTGCTAGCTTTTGCCATATTTCTTTTATTATTTGTTGGATGCTTGCTAGGTGTAGAAGAGAGAAAGGGAGAGGAGGGGGAAGAAACGATGGGCAAAATCGCTTATAAAAATGCACATGCATAACAAAACTAACCAAAATCTAGCTGTGCCTGAAGTTGAACAGTTTAAAAAAAAAAACTGTTCCAAACCCAGGCTATTTTGTAGGAGCTTGTCGGACTTGGATTGGGCCACAGGCCTCTACCTTGGATTGACTAATGAAGCCAGGATGCTTCATGTGGGGGAGATATTGCTACTTTACATCAGCAAGAGAAGGAGAGATAGAATCAACCGATGTGGACTCTGAATAAGATATTCAGGTTTACCCTTGAGATGGAATTGCATGTTTTGTTGGCAGAAGACAGCAGGCTCTGCATTTTATCTGTGCGAGAAATGTGCCTGGCACTCCCTTACACAGCCCTCAGTCTCAACCTAGAGAAAACCTTGTGTCAGGAGTGACCCCAGCATCCCTGTTGTCACGGTAACTGACAGGAAAGCAGACTAGCAAGAGCTGTAATGCAGTAATCACCAGGCTTAAGGAAGAGGTTCTTGAAGGAGCAACAACTGCTCATTAAATTAAACAAGAGTCACCCCCCTCTGCAAATTGTGGGGATTTATACTTTATATCTTTATATTAAGATGTTGTTTCCTAGGTGACATTCTGAACTGGCAACACCTTGTCACAGCTGATGTCTGCTGGG